CATCGTCATCGTCATCATCACTGGTGACGTCATCAGTGACGTCACTGATGACGTCATCAGTGACGTCACTGATGACGTCACCGGCATCCGCATCGTCATCGTCACGGATGACGTGATCAGTGACGTCACTGATCACGTCACCGACATCCGCATCGTCAGTCATCATCGCTGATGACGTCATCGGAGTCCGCATCGTCATTGTCACTGATGACGTCATCCGTGACGTCACTGATGACATCATCGGCATCGTCACGTAACCCCCCAAGGTCACGTGACCCCCCCAAGTCACTTCACCCCCCCCCCAAGTCACTTCACCCCCCCAAGTCACTTCACCCCCCCCCCCAGTACCCTTCCCTCCTCCTCCTCAAGAGCTGCGCTCTAATTCGGTGTTACAGGGAGTTGTAAACGGCTTTCACTTTTTCTTAGAAAGGTCGAGAATCTCAGACACGATTAGGGATGCCGCGAACTTTTTTCGAATCGAAGTTTCGATGATCGAATCAAGCGGTTCGAAAGGTTCGAAAGATTTCGATTTTTCGAATTGTTTATATCGTAAAATTCGACGGAGGTCGAATTTTCGAACTTGTTAAGCTAAGAAGTTCGACGCTTTTCGAACCGTCGAACTTATTACGCAAAAAATTCGATCTTTTTCGAACTTTCGAACTTATTGCGCTGCAAGGTTCGATGCTTGTCGAACTTTCGAACTTGACTGACCAAAAAATTCGATGAATTTCGAAATTTCGAACTTATTTATCAAGAGGATTCGAAAAGTTTCGAACTTTCGATTTATCAAAAGTCAGAAGTTCGACGAACTTCGAACTTTTAGGGTAAAAGTTCGACGTTCGTCGAACTTCGAAAGACCGGCGGACGGTTTCATTTGATTTCAAGTAGTGGGGTACATTCGTAATTTTTTTTTCTTGAACTTTTACGCGCGGTGCTGCGTTCCTTACGAAAGACAATGTCATTTATTTCAATGTTCTGGCATGCTTAGGTTTAAAGAAATAAATCCCCGAAGGGGCGAGGACAGACGACGGCTTTTTGACGATTATCGTTTGTGCCAGATTTGAAGCGCGCTGTAGCCGAAGCTATTTATGGTAGAGATGTTATGCTTTTTTTAAAAATGATCTATGTATAGCCAAGGTAAGTGCCGTCTTGAGATGTGGTTATTGTTATTCAACGTGAGTTTCGAAGAAATGTCCAAACATATATCTACATGCAATTATGCCCTAAACTTGATATTTATTTTCGTCTAAGTTGTTTGAGGTATCGAATTTAAATTAACACCACAGACAGTACATATCATTGCCATCTGCAGAATACAAAATAATATATTTATTGTTTTTTCACGTTAAGGAATAAATTAACTCATGGCAGAAGATTTCTAGTAGTGTTCAAGTTCAGCACGTCATTAAAAAAAACTTTTTTTTTTTTTCGCTTCACGTTCTTGGGACGTGTTTCTTTTAGCCTGTACACATTTTGGTAAAAGAAACTTGTTTCGAAGTTCTGAACCTCTGAATATGCAGGAATAGAACACTTCCGACGAATTCTTGATAGTTTTTTTTTTTCTCCTGCTTTTTATTCCCGCATTTATTCTTTTTTTTTTTTTCTTTTGTTACTATCGGCACAGGTGTTTAGGTCGAAAAGACAGCTTTGAACTTCCGAACCACTAAGCATGTGACGAGCAGTGCCTTCTGACAACGAGTTTCTAACAATGACCATCTACGCAACCTTTTATGCAGTGAAGAGCGACAGTAGCTATACATATGCATAAATAATTTCAGATTAAAATAAGCACCGGATTGGATTACTACCAGCGTGCAAGGGGTGGCGAGCTAGTTTACGAGGTCGCTTCAAGGTTTTTCTGAGCCTCAACCTCCTGCTCGCCCCTGGCCGTTTCGAACTGGATGAGTCTCGTAAAACAGTGTGTTCGTGCAATCACTACTGCGTGATAAAGACCCCCCCCCCCCCCCCCGGGGCTGGCGGTCACAATTCTGCACTGGCAAATATTCTAGCACGTCCGGGACACTCGTCGTCTCATTTAATTGCCTGACCCAACTTCGCAGAATCTAGATGTCACACCCTAACTTTTCTAAACTTGATTTTGTGAAAACCAGTGAGTCGTGAAAACGTTATCTGAAACTGAAACTGTAGAAAAACTTGAAAATCGAACTTCGAACTTTGAAAACTTGGATTAAAAAAAAATTCAAAATCTTCGAAATTTTTTTTTTTTAATTTAGCGTTAAAAGAGAATCGAAACCTTCGAACTTTTCGAACTTTATGCAAAAAGAAATTCGAAATCTTCGAATTGTTCGAACTTCATGTCTATAAAAATTCGAAGCGTTCGAAGTTTTCGAATTTTTTTTACAAAGAATTTCGAAATCTTCGAATTTATCGAACCTGAAGTAAAAAACTATTCGAAATATTCGAATTCGAAATTTTAGAAACCGTGAAAGCTTCGAAATTTTCGAATTCGAAACTCCGCTGTGGACAAAAGTTGCGAATTTTTCGATATCGAACCTCGGTCGGTACGAAAATATCGAAATTTTTCGAAATCGAACCTCACTTCGCTTCGCAAATATCGAAACCTTTCGAAATCGAACCTAGGGTGGTTCGCGACATCCCTAGACACGATCCTTTCATAATGATACTGCCGTTTCTTCCAATAAATATTTTATTGGCTCTTATCGGCACAACGCAGCAATCTCATTGGCTGCGGATCTGCGAGTGACTATTGGGGGAAATGATGGATGGATGGATGAATACGGCTGAGCCCTTTTAATCGGGCGGTGGCTTGCGCCACCTATCCAAGGCCTCTAATTCCATCAATGAACTCTATAATCTAACCATCGCGCCCCTAGCGGCCTAGATGGGAGCTAAGCCCATGGGGGCAACCACGACATGAAAGGGGTCAACCGCAACGTGAAATATTGGTTTGCTCGGCTACGCAGCGCTCGGCTGACGTGTAACCCAAATCTGCGTCAGTGTTCCCCAGGTGCTCGTGCTTAGTCCGTGGAGGAAAACACAGATTGAAACAGAATCTCAGCCGAATGCTGACGCCGCACTGTTGTTCATTCTAATTTCTGTCCCAGCCTTCAAGCGAAGAAGATGGCGTAAAGAATCCAGCGCCTAGGCTCATGTGTTTTTTTTTTTGTATGTTTTCTTATAACTCTCGTGGTCTGTTCCAGCGTCGTTCCGCCCCACCTGCTGCACCGCACTTTCGGCGAGCGTCGCCGGGACAGGGCCAACGCGTTCGGCAAAAACCGCTTCGAGCTGTGCATGGTGCCCATCTCCCTGTTCGCCATCCTCGGCGTCGGCTACTACGCGGTGAACTGGGGTACGCCGCGCTCCCGTACAAGCAATGCGATATTCCCGCCTGACTCGGGGCTGGGCAGAGATACTAAAGAAAGTATAACGCAACTCAATACCGATGTACAGTGCGCTGCAATATGAAATACCATTTGGAGCACGTGGCCGAGGCGGTGGCTGGCGAGGGCGCTGCGAGCGCTCCGGACAGTTCCATTCTGCTTCGAGGGGAGGACGCTCACTTGGGCTCAGCTAAAGCGGAACGCGCTTATCAGATTGTGCTGAGCCCCGAGTGAGCGTCCTCCCCTCGAAGCAGAATGGAATTGCCCGGAGCGCTCGCAGCGCCCCCGCCAGCCACCGCCTCGGCCACGCGCTCTCAGTGGGTCTTTCATATTGCGGCGCACTGTAAATGTATTTTGAAGGGTCGCACTAAACCACTTTCTGCAACAGTGCATTTATTATCATAACTTAATCTAAATGCACTATGCATTCTAAAAATAAAACAAAACAAAAATACTAAACGTGACATTCATCCGTGGCCGATTTCTCTATTAAAATCAGCATCAAAGATCGATTACCTCGGAACTATCGAAGACACCAGAGGGTGCCACCGGACGAGGAGAAGCAGAGAAGCCGTCCTCCTCGTCGGATGGCGCCATCTGGTGTGTGCGATAATTCCTAGGTAATCGAACTTTGATACCGATTTTGATAAAAAAAACTCGACCACGTATGAATGTAAAACATTTTTTTTTTCTTTTTTTAGGATGCTTAGAGCTTATAGATTGAGTCACGGTCATAAGAAGTCTGTCGCAGAGAGTGGTTTAGTGTACTTCTGAGGCGAAAATGCTGATACTGAGATGCATTTCACTTTTATGTGACGGAATGTCCCCAAGTTACTTCTGCGAAAAACAGCAAAACAGCATTCAGGAATACAGATACATACAGAAATACAGTTTTTCCCGAACCACGGTAGGTGCAGAGGGAGGCATTCGTGACGAACGCAAAAGTCTTGTTTTGGTGACTGTCTGGGATATATCTGGTTTTCGTTTCAGGTTTTCTTCCTGTAGATGGAGTTAAAAAAGTGGTTCATATTACAAAGTTTGGAACCCCTCGCACATCATCAAGTTGGATTTAAGTTTATCGCTTTCGTTTCGCCTTTGAATAGAACTCAGCAAATAGCCTCAGAAGTCAATGAAACTTGCGCGTTGGAAAGCGACATATGCTGCTCTTTTCTTTTCTTTTCTCTCGGAGACGAAAATTTTAATAGAACTTAAACCCTGTGGCACTGCTTTACACAATAGTTATACGGTTTACACATACTGAATCGTCACAATTTTAGAACGACGTATATGTGTATGTTATCTACAAAACTTTAAAAGGATAAAGAGAAGGTTCAGCAAACATCGAACTTTGGCTTGCACTCGTGCGCATGAAGGATGAAGCGAGAAAGATAGAAATGGCACCTTGCACGTTCCTTTGCCATCGCCGTTTTATAGTCATTTGCTTTTATCATTCTTAGAGATTCGGCGAGCCACCGTGTTACCGTGTGCTCGCTGGCGTTATTCCACAAATCTTATGTTTTGTGGCCGAATTTCGCAGAAAGCGAACTGCGACCCAACAGAACCGCTGTCACGTCCGAGTCGCGGTTCCAAAAATTGGTCGAGAGGCTGCAGACGAGGAGAGCCTGGCATCCGGCCACAATGAAGCCAGAGTCCACCGAGAACTTGACCGAGGTCAGAGACGTCGTCAATGGAACACTTCATGGTGTACCCGGTGAACGAGATGCCGTAGTCGCTTCCTGGTCTGCCCGTGAGTATAGAGAGTTTACGTCGTGTTATCACGGGTGATCCACATCGTAGGGCTTTATAGGAACGTGCTTTTGACAACGCCGTTAAGACCGCGTACCAATTAAAGGGCTACGGCATCGACGTAATTAATGCAGCACATTTAAATTCATTACGTCTTCTTGTCAATTATAAGGTTTTATGACGCCAGGAATATTTGTTGCTTAGGAATGTCAACGTACATTTTTTATATCCTTTTTATTAGCGTTTAGGGCTTTTTTTTTGCGTGTTATGTTTAATTGTTTCGTTTCGTTTCTATTGCTGAAGCTCAAGTGTTATAATATCTGTTATTTTTCTTTGCCTTGGTGAAGTATCTTTTTCGAGGTGACCAGAAAGTCAGTTTTCATCAGTCGACAAATAGAGATTAATTTGTATTATGGTTTTTTGCCGGTTTCGCTTTGTCATAAACGATGCATGCAACGTTTTTTTTTTGTTTTTTTTTTTCTACTGCAGTTTTGCCCGAATGACAAAAGTCCTCTGTGTAAAAAAAAATAATTATTTGTTTATTCGTTCCGCAGACCTGCCCCGTAAACCGATCTGGTGCTTCTACGAGGCCAGAGACGACAGGTATTCCGTGCACCATCTTCCCTTAGAACTGTGCACTGTCGTAGTCTTCTGCTGCTTGGATCTCACCAAGGACGGAACGGGCGTCGTGCCGACTGCCACCGAAAAAGGTGCTCTATTTCAGTTGCAGCCGACGGTGCTGTTGTCCTTAAAGTTGTTGGCCCATACCCAAGGAGGGGATTGGCCGATACTCAGTGTCTGGTATTCGTTAAGGCCACGGTCCCACTGAATGTGGCAGTTTAGGTACTTTTTGGCAGGTCATTACTCATCTCCTTTTAAATACTGTTTTTTGGGATTGATGTCATTCAAAAGGCAATGCAATCCTCTTTCATTTGATATTATGTGTGTGTTGGTGTTTACTGTTCATGCGCGTTTGTGGCGTTGCGAATATGATGGCGCGGACCCTCACTTGCTCCGCTAGTTCATGTTTTATGAACGATCCATTAAAGATAACACGCTTCCAATAGAGCAGTTTTGTTAAGATGATGTCGGAGCAGAATGTAACGATACACTTTTTTGGTATGTCCACTACTTTGTTTTTTTCATCCTTCCAAATATTGCCCTAAAATTGCCATTTTTCAGCACAAATATCTTTTTAATGACAAGAGCTAGGACAATGAAATTAGCTACAGGTGTAGTGCTTATAATTGATAATATGCAGAAAAAAATTTAATGTTGTGTAAAATTTTTTTGTTTAGATATTTTATATCAAACGTAGCACTTTTTGTGCTTCGAGTCATGGTACTTCGAATGCCGCTGAGGAAATAATTAAACTATGATAAAATCTTTTATAACATTTAGAGCTACAATAGTTGCCCAAGAGGTGGACGATGGCCTTTTTTTCATTTTCAAAGTCATAACGCTCCAGGAGCCCTTCAAACTTACCTGTTTTTGATGCATACCTTTTTTGGACATCAAACAGATTTATTGGCATCTAATAACATTTATTGTTTGGAATAGATATACATTGCGATGTATTAGATTCTCAGAATGATATTGCTTTGGTTTTTTAATAGGTGTAGTGCTTAGCTAATCTTAAAAACAATTAAGAACTGTTTGGGCGTCTTGTTGCGCTACCTGGCGGATGGCAGACAAACTGCTGAATTCTAATGTTCAAAAAATTTCCGAGGGCGGCGTTGGCGTCTGTATCATCATCAATCTCCGTGTCTTTTTACCTTCACATTAAAAAAAATATATTGGAAGATTTACTATCGATAAATGAATGGTTTAAGTACTGGGTCAGGTTAATAAATCTAAGACAAATAGTTACACAAGCGTAGCGTGATATAATGTGTTCATTATTCCGTATGGTTTAAATCAATAAACAATAAAGACGAAGAGGAAAAGAATACACCCGAGTTCACTTCATGCCTAGAGTCACTAAATGAGCTCTAAGGTGTCGGCACTCCGTTCCCCAAAATTGTTCTGGGCGCCGCCATTTTCGGTCTTGTTCAGAGCAAACGCTACTGCCGATCGTCATGATCCAAAAGTACGACTTCCTCAGCGTTAGATGCGGTGCAAGGAAGCTGATGCAATATGCAATGCTCTGTCGCGGGTTGTCTAAACATTTTAGGAGGACGGAAAAGCGTTTCCTGTGATCTTAGATAAAGCTTCAGATAACTGGCGACCATGATTTTAGGCCACAATATGGCCAAGTGTCGTTACTCTGAACCGTAGCTAATTTACTGGCACAAGCGGGAACAATGAGGAAGAGGCAGGTGTCAAAAGGTAGTGGCTTGAAGAATCCACGGGGTTTACGTCATGGCCCCTCCAGATATTACAAGCCTATCTTGAACAAGAGCATGGATTGTGTCATTAAATAAGCTACGCTTGAGAGTAGCGACACTTGGCCATATTTTGGCTTAAAATCATGGTTGCCAGTTATTTGAAGCTTTATCTGAAATCACAAGAAACGCTTTTCCGTCCTCCACTTTAAACAGTTTGCGACAAAGCAAAGCAACATTACATGAGCTTCCTAACACCGAATATAATGCTGAAAATGTCGCACTTTTGAATCATGACGATCGGCAGTTGCGCTTGCTCTGCTCAAGCACGAAAATGGCGGCGTTCACAACACTGTTGGGGAAGAGAGTGCCGATACTCTAAGCGCAGCTCATTTATTGGCTCTACTTCCCTCAAATCTCCTTTCCCCTGACTGACACTGAAACTAAATATGAATAATACACTATTATTATACCTTATTTAGTTATAACCAACTACACATAATGAGAGAAGGAAGCAGCCGGGTAGGAAAAACGCAGGTTTTATGTGCAACCGTTCTTACCGTCTCAAAAGAAAGAACGCGCGAGCTTGCGCTGGTTTAAAAAAATACGATCCAAAGAAAAGAGGCGTCATGCTGTGTTCTTTGCGATTGTGCATCGAATTGCAAATTGTTCCGGGTATGTTTATAGAGCCGGAAGTTAGTCTGCCTTAGTGGGCGTCTGGTGTCTCAGCTATAGATGAACAATTTAGCCAGTGCGGTACAACCGCAAACCTGGGGTCTTTAACGTGCACCACGCAGTAGTGATACACGACCGCACGCCGGTACGATGCTCTTCCAGATCAAAACGGGCAGGGGCGGGGTGGGTGCTGCAGTGCGAGCTTTCGCTCCACGTGCACCGAGCTGGCGTGCGCTATACTCCGTTTCACCTTATGTTGTACCTCAGAGAAGGCTAGAAGCGCGAGCTCATAGCGTTGGTAGCTGCTCTTAACATACGAGAGCTTGTGTCGCAGAGATGTGCCCTAGAGCAAGGAGCTCGCGCTTGTACCTTTTACTGCGGTACATCATAAAGTGAAACAGAGTAGAGACCATGCACTCGGCCACCAATTCCCCCCCCCCCCCCCCCCCCCCCCCCCCCCACACACACACCCTTTTTGTGCGTCTAATTTATATACAGGTAGAAGTATTTGAAGATCGACGATGGGCGTCGATCGTCTCGAGGTAATGTAACTTAATAGCATTATATAAACGATAAACATATTGAATACTGAACGACTCAATTTTTTAATTCTTGGATTGTAATAAAGCGGTAGCCTATTGTACTTACTGTTGATGAAGAGCAATATGAGGTGACGAGGAAATGATTAAATGATGGGGCTCTATAAGGACGAAGACATTAGTGGATGTCGAACCACAACGTACATTGCTAGACTTGTTTCAAGTATCGTGTACCCAAAGACCTTTCTTCACCCGCAATAGAATATGGTAGAATCAATGAGGATGCTGCTTTACAACTTATTTGGAACAGGAAAACTTTACTGTGTAGAAGTGTGGCTTATTCGTTAATATGAGAGACGGATTTCTAGCAGCACTCCCTGATTGACTGCTTGGAACAAATGGCTTCGCTGACGTAAAGTGTCCCCGTTGCAAAATATTCTTGAACCCTGGTGAAACCGCAAAGGAGTACGAGGCGAAAAATAAGAAAAATGAGCCTGGCGTGAAAGGTCCAAATCACCACTATAGCTTCTACTACCAAATACAAGGGCAGTTACACAATACACAAAGAGGGTTTTGTGATTTCTTTATATTTACACTGAAGGGCATTGATATCCAACGTATTAAGAGGGATGACACCTTCTGGTCAATTAATAAAGAGCCTTTTCCACTCAGCGCGACTTCCGCTGAAATTCCTCAGGTAGACGAGTTGTCCGACCGAATAAACTGCCATTACTCCCGATTTGGGAATCTCTCGATCTTAGTTCGTAGGCCATAGTACCATGAGATCGAGGGGTGTGGCTCTTCGTCCGCCGAACATTGCTTCGGCGGGTGTTTTTACCGTGTAAGATGAGACCGTCGCGTGTTGCTGGAACAAAAACCTGGCGATTCTTCACTGAAGCGTTCCTTCCGTAAGCTTCAAGAGGGCTTTCTTCGTTTCGCACACCATCTGTTTTGCTTGCCCGTTAGTTGGAGGATGGTATGGTACACTAAAGGCCGGTTCACACATGCAGCGGAGCGCTAAGTTAGCGCTACGTGAGCGCTCCAAGGAGCGCTCATGTAGCGCTTCCTAGCGCGTGATGTAGCGCATGGGTTAGCGCTTCAGTAGCGCTCTGTTAGCGCTCTGTTAGCGCTACAGAAGCGCTCTGTTAGCGCTCTCATGCACGCTCCTTGTGCCGTGCTAGCTGCTGCGGAACAGCGCGTGCACGGCGATTCCTTTGTTGTTGTTTTTCCTTTGGCATTGAAAGAAGAGGAAGCAAAACAGCCGCTCTCCAAGCAAAGGGTCGGGCAGGCGACCCAGAGTCATGAACTTTGAGCGACTAATTGATTGGGTACGACCTCATCGCTTTCTATTCGATATGCGTGACCCTGGTTTCAAAGACACGCAGTTAAAAATGACCGCCTTCGAATGAGCTCTGTGTCTCGGTCCCTCAGCCTAGGAACAAGGTTCACTATAGTCAGTTACAGGTTAAGAAGGTAGCGGCAAATGCCCCTCAAAGGGAATCAGATATCCCTCCGCCACCTCCGCATCCAATAGCGTCCCACCGTTTCCGTGACGTCGCGGACAACGCGCGAGGAGGGTCTTGCCTTTCTGTACATATTTGCTTTATCTTTCGACTTTGACTTTGCATTGTGGAAGCCACGAGAGGGAGATTAGAGTTCTCCCCCACCGACGGAAACAAATACGACTTTCGGGGATTAGCTTCCTCCCCGATGGATACAAAGGCTGCTTTCAGGGGCTCGGTTCCCTCTCCGATGAATACAAAGGTCTCTTTCTTAAAAAGTGGGATCGGAGACAAGTGGGAATCCATTGAAGCGGAACAAGGAGCGTTTCCAGTGAACTCTTCTTTCGACTGCGGAGAGATTTGAAACGGGCGCATCCCACTTGTGGGAGGAGCTTCTCCTACCTTCTTGACTTGTAACCGACTATAGGTACCTGTCGGTATCTCGGTGACGAAAGATTTCGCGCACGCAGAAGGCTCTTCTGGGCGTTAAGCCGTCCACACACATATGCACCAATCGCGTATGTAAGAGCATTGGTCGCATTTCTATTTCAGCATCTCACATGTCCGCCATGGTGCTGCTGATTCACACCCAAGCACAGGAACCGGAACCGCAGTGCACGCGCTAATTCGCAGCACCGCGGTACAAGAGGCGCTACTGAAGCGCTAACAAGGCGCTACTGGAGCGCTAACAACGCGCTACTGGAGCACTAACAAGGCACTACTGGAGCGCTAACAAGGCGCTACTGGAGCGCTAACAAAGCGCTACAGAAGCGCTAATCGCGCGTTGTGTTAGAACTAAGTCACGCGCCAGGAAGCGCCACATGAGCGCTCCTTGGAGCGCTCACGTAGCGCTAACTTAGCGCTCCGCTGTATGTGTGAACAGGCCTTAAAGGTGATGCCTGATGCCGGTTTTCTTCTTTTGTTCAATACTTGTTTATTTTATTTGAAGCAAGATTTGGAGCGTTATCAGAGAAAAGTGTTTTCGGTAGGGTAAAAGTAGGAAAAACAGAGCGTAGAACGTCAATGACGCGTTTGGACGTCGTGGCACTGGCAGGCATCGTGTAAAGGTATACGTTTATACTTCAACGTAACGTCGATTGGCGCAGCGTAGCGCAGCGCACACTGATACTCATTGGTCGCAGATATCAAGTTCCTGGTCGCCGGCCTATGGAAGGCGAGCGTTCTGTGCTACGCTGCGTTCACTGCGCTCAACGTCGGAGTATAAACAGCCCTTAAACTTCCAACCACTAATACCCTTGTTACACGGGCACACTTAACTGCAGTTACGCTAAGCCACAGTCAGCGCACAATATTTACGGACAACATTCTGCGGCTATGCAGTCAAAGCTACGGGCGAACGTGCGCTTGAGCATCTTGAGCACCCATCAAAGCAGTGCGCGCGCGCTCTTCACTTCTTCTGAAATAGCTGTTCGATAGTATAGTGCGGTGTCTGTGGTGCCGCGCAACAGCAGTTAAGCTGAGTTAACCGCGGTTAAGTGTGCCCGTGTAACAGGGGTATTAGAGTACGCATCGACAATGGCTCCGCAGATGCGGATACGTTTCGCCACCCACTGACCGAATAATGGATCGTTTTAAATTACTGTTTATGATAGCGCTGGACTCGAGGATGACTTCGAGTCTTTCCACAAAGTTAGTCCAGGTGCCAGCACTTTTGTTAAAAGCGTAAACGTTCGAAAAGTCGACAACGTCGGTAGCCACGTGCTGTGCTTGATACTGGACGCTTACCATTCGCTGAAAAGAAACTTGCTTGTTCGTCTGCCACGAGTCGTCCGATATCAGGTCATCACCGCTACTTTATCTCCCGACAAAACAGGTCTTCATTGTCCGCATGTCCATAGTTAGCAATCACGTGAACTTATAAATTCCCGAACGCTCATAACTTGCCGTCGCTAAACGCCGTTCATTCGTAGCCTCTTCATTGCAAATAAACGTCTTCCTATTTATTCTGATGGTTTTCATCATATTCCTCCTAAGCTGTACTTACAACATTATGTGTGTCGGTACTTCCAAAAATATTGGAACGGCGTTCGTTTTCTGGGAACTATAATGTAACAACCTTCGCAACATCTTACGGATCCCGTGAAACACAATACTTTGTGACGTCACTTTTTAGTCGTCATTATAATGGTGAGGTAAGTACTGTAAATCGCGAAGCAGTTCACTTGACGTCCGCTTCCACTGGTATTTTGGAAGATTGAGTCTACTGAGCGTGCATTCCCGCAGAAGAAGTTTTCAATGATATAATATTGATACGTCAATCAACAAGTGATTCCTTCTTGGTAAGATTTATTTCGAAAACCCGTGACAACCGCCGAACCGCATTTATACCCAGCCTGACATTCTCGCATACATCCGTTTGATGGGCCACGCTACTTGAACCAGCTGAGCTCAGCTGGCCACGGCGCGAGCAAGGCCACGAGGGGAACGTGATGGTGCTCGAGCCATCCCACCGTGAACCAATGTTTTGGCCACCCCACAGGTGCGTGTCGCCATCTATTGGTTGAACTAACGCCTTGTTCAAGATGGCTGCCGTGGGACCGCAGCCTTAAAGAAACAAATGAAGGCCACGATCGAACCAGTCTTGAGTGTCACCCACTGCTTTGCGACCGACCGCCTACGACGATATAACTCACTGGCGCCATCTATCGGGAAGTCTCTGTCCACGCGTCCGGTCTGCATATGTAACCAATTTTCTTATTGCAGAATCACATATTTAAATATTTTTGATAATATTATAAGCGACCATTTCTTACATATCGTGCGTACCTTTGATCTCGGAGTTACTGCAAAATCTTCAGTCTAGTCCAGGAAATATAAACGGATAAGATGTGTTCCAGGTCATCCCGACAGGTGGCGCCACTGTGTTATTCTGTCGTAAGCAGTCACAAGCAATTGCAACGCAGTCAGTCTCTAGGCTGGTTCTCACACTCCTTTCCGAAATTCAGTCTGGCCACTTTGATCACTATCATCATCTGTGGAACGGAATCTGTGCCATACCAATGACGGCCTTCTAGTGACAGATAAAGGAAGACGTTGAAGATGCTCCTAAGCGGATCTTGCGAGGCCTGTACATTCGGGGGGTCAGTACGACGCGACGTAGGAATGAAACACGAGAGCTATGTAAGCGTTTATTTCTAATAACTCAGGTTCAGTCAATCTGTGGGCGGCACACAATCGGCTTTAAGGCACCTTGGTGTATACAAATCACTCGAGGCATCTGAGTGGGTTGGAGCTTTGTTCTGAATGCAGGTTCTTGGTCACCATCGAATTGAAAGTGATGGAGAAAAAACTCACACTGAACAATTCCTCGCGTGCCGTTGTCTTGCGAAAGTCACGGTGCCGATACAAGTTCATTTCCGCCATTGACATGGCAAAACCTAAACTGCTTTACAAACCACCAGATGGCACTGAATTTCGGAAAGGGTCTATTGCTGTCCATCTCTTACGACTAGAGAACACGCTGGTGCCAGATATCGGGTAGAACATTTGGCATTTTCGTATATATACTTTTTTCGCGCACCTTTTTTTTTCCTTTTTTTTTGGGGGGGGGGGGGGGGGGTGGGGGGTGGGGGGGGGGGGGTTGACGAAACGTTGACAATGTTTTGTCAAGGTTTTAGTGGGTGCCTTCGATCTCGCCAATTTCGCAAAACCTTCGCTCTACTGAAATACAGTTCCAGGCCCACCTCATAGATGGCGCCAGCGTGCCAGTGGTTTTTCTCGTCTGAAGAGATCACAAGAACTCGGTCGGTTAGCCAACGCAAGTGTGCGAACGGGCCTTCACTCAAACGCAAATGTGCGATCCAGCCCGTAGATCGCCCTTTCTATCGCATTCGGCCACCACGTTCGTTGACCGATCGTCACCCGCAGAACGGCTCAAGCAGATGGCAGAGCGACGCCGGGCCTACCCTTGGGTGAGAATCTTCCTCGGAGTCGGTGGACCGGGGGCACTTGAAGACGGCTTCGACGCCTTCTCGGCGCGGGGTTCGAGCAACCTGACGCTCGTTCGACTCTGCCGCAGCCTGCGCAAACTGTCGCGGGAGATCGGTACCGAGGGGGTTCTCTTCCATCCGCCCGACATGGTGGCCGCTGCCTTCCACGCCTTTCTCATCGTAAGTTGGAATCACTCTGTAAGCGTTTTCCTGAAAAGAAGAAAGAAAAGAAATATATAAATACACACACACGCATATATATATATATATATATATATATATATATATATATATATATATATATATATATATATATATATATATATATATATATATATATATATAAAACTGAGAAGAAAAAAACCCTTAGTGAAAACAGCAACAACGGACGAACAACGTTCAGGAATCCTGACGAAGGCCGGACTCCGGCCGAAACGTCGAAGATTAAATCGTCCGTTGTTGCTGTTTTCACTAAGGGTTTTTTTCTTCTCAGTTTTATACCCACGCCTTCGGCCTCCCGCCACCATGCCCGTTATATATATATATATATATATATATATATATATATATATATACCGGGTGTTTCTGCGAAGACTTTCAAAAATCCTAAAAATTAAAGCGTCAAAAAAAGAAAAAACTTTCTTCGGGAACAAACTACCAGCCACGGCGGACGTCAGGAATTGCCAAAAACATAGTAATTAGCCAACTAATTGATTAAAATTTGTTAATTAACTTTTTAATTAGGGGAAATAGACATATGGTTCCAATTAGAAAGTTGCTGAGCGTTATCGAAAACCACTAAATCAGTCATTTTCAAAAAGAATTTCGGCGCGTGAGAAGCGTAGTATTGTACTAAAGTTACCACTCGTGGAGCAGGTACAAGGCTGGGGCTAGATAAGAGACGGAAAAATCGCGCGGGCGCCTTATCGCAACCGCTAGCTTTGTACCTGCTCAAAGAGCGGTAACTTTAGTGCACTACTACGCTTCTCACGCGCTCAAAGTCTTTCTGAAAACGACTGATTTAGTGGTTTTCAATAACGCTCAGCAACTTTCTAATTGGAACCATATGTCTATTTCCCCTGATTAAAAAGTTAATGAACAAATTTTAATTAATTAGCTGGCTAATTAGTATGTTTTTCGCAATCCCTGACGTCCGCCGTGGCTGGTAGTTTGTTCCCGAAGACAGTTTCTTCTTTTTTCAAACGCCCTAATTTTTAGGATTTCTGAAAGTCTTCGCAAAAACACCCGGTATATACAATCTGCGCATCGCCGAACGTTCAGTCTCTACTCAAACTATAGCCGTCCAGGCCGGATGCAAATGTTTCAAAACTAACCATTATCGTATTCAAACATTATCAGTAATGTGTCTAAAAAAAAGTTTCAATGTTAAAATGAGACCCGTTCCCGGTAGGTGACGCCATTCAGTCCCATGCATTCGTGGGTGTCGTCAAGAATCATTTTTCCAATTGAAAATTTTGAAAAATCGCTCGCTATCCCTACCGATTAACCCAGGATAACTTTTCGCTATCTAGATTAGGGAACTTGAAGTTTAAATGGAATTGTTTTTGGAAACCTGAAATCCAGATTCCAGACAAAGTAATAATTTCTGAAAACCTAATATACAGATATAGAATTCAGATATATTTCTCTTTCCTTAATCCAGATAGCGAAAAGTTATACTAGGTTTTTCAGTAGGGTAGGTTACACTGCAGTGATATCTGTTATATAAATAATATTGTGAAAAATAGATTAAACTATCGCATTTACGGGGTAATAATACTTTCCGGCTTCAACCTATGCTAAAGAAACTGAGGTACGCCAGAATCACCGCTCAAGTAATGTTAAATTGTGCATTAAACATCACTGCATTCCACAAAATGATAATTGGCGATTTGTTAATGTTGTAGTGCGGTTACTGCAATCTGTATGTTTGATGTCCTTTTATGAGGATCTTGCGTCTAACTATACACGTTATTTGGCAGAAACTGCACGGCTGCCTCGATGCCTTTGATGTCGAAGTAAGCGTGGTTATTTCTGACGACGCTATCGAGGACGTGGCGTTTCTCAAGTACGCCCCTTACTTCAGGTGAGAAATCTTCCGAACGTTTTGCTGGTTACGGAATAATAAAGTAGCAATGTTGCCGCAGGAAGCCCTTTCTGATGAGTCTCCCCAGTATTGCTTTTCTGCTCTCTGTAACACGTACACGCAGTTGTCTTTACTGCTTGGAGAATCTGAAAAAAAAAAAAAAAAATGGCTTGGATAGATTTTAGCATTGGAGCAAACCCATACGGCGACTGACATCGTTTGGAGTTTTTAGCGTGGATGCGTCTGGATTAAAACACTGTCCACTGAGTCCACTCACACCCACGGGAGGCCCTAGCTTCCAAGAACTTCCCACCAGTGGCTTTGTTCGATTTACACGCACTTCCTGCGCCGCTGCAGAAAAGTGTAAGGCACTGTGCTTCCGGTATGTGTATTCAGATACGACCGAAAGTACACAGCCCTACGCTTTTCTGCACCGACGCAGGAGGTGCAGGTAAACTGAGCGAAGCTGTAGCAACTCTGCTCTCGTTAAAGGGGTACTCCACCGATTTTTTGAGCTACCTCAACTAACTATATTTTCTTACTCCCCGGCCTTTAGCCTTTCCGGTATGCTATTTAGCATCGCGAAATTCATAATAGGTATTGTGAAATCGGCAAATGAAAATGGTGCAAAAACCAATATTCAAATATTCGCGCACTTTTCAGTGTCGTGACGTCAGTGGCAGGCAGGCTTGCCAGTCGAGCAAGTAGTCTAAAAATAGAATTTGCCAATCATTTGTCCCGTGCTGGAGTGCGGATACGGGAGCGAGCTTCCAAAGCACTCATTTGACATCAAGAAACTGCTTCAAATCCGTTGGGAACAACTTCTGTAGTCCAAAAAGTTAATCCCTGCCTTCCACTGCCGTCACTTTGTTGTTGTTGCCAGTAGAGACTTTCAGTTTGAAAAACATGGTGAAGACCAAAACTGTAAATTCAATAACTTCGCGAAAAAACAATATTTTGACCTAATATTTGGGATACTATTTTAGCAATGTTTGTTGGTTAGTTTAGCAAAATTTCAAGCAAATCGGAGACCATGAAAAAAACGGTGGAGTACCCCTTTAACACAGGCAGTGTTGGCTCCTGTTTAGATAATCTGAAAAATATGACTTCCGATCGATTTCAGCCTTGTTTTAGGAGCCGTACCATGTGGCGACTAACATCTAACGGAATTTCTAGCGTGGATGCGTCTGGATTGAAACGTGACGTCAAAACGATGCCGAGCTTTGATTGGCTCTGATTCAAAGGATAGTGGGTAGACCTCAATGCTAGACGCCTTGATGTTTACCCCACTACTTTTTTCAATTAGCCCATAAGAGCTATGCTTTCTGACATCCTCACAACCCCTGCAAAGAAGCAGATGAACTCGCGCTCCGCATGGAGGCAATTAGGCAGTGTCGAAAATGCATCGTCATGGCTGTTTTTTGTGTTCGCTATCAGCGGCTAAACCAATCGAACAATGAACGCGGCGTAAACCCGATTTTTTCTCTGCGCGTGATTGGTCTAGCCGGTGATATAGCAAACGCACAATGACGACGACCACCGTGACGATGCACTTTTGCTGCTGCCTGATTGGCTCCATATCGGATTGCGTAGCGTTGGCTGCGGTCGGGCTTAATGGGGCGTTTTAATAGAGAGTTTTAGTAGATCGTTCCGATACCTCCGATAGCCCCGATAACGATACTATGTATGCGCAAGGGAGGCGGTGGCGGAGTATCGGGTATCGTTATCGGAGTCATGGGAACGATCTACTAAACCTCTCTTATATAGATCATTCCGATAACTCCGATAACGATATCCGATACTCCGCCTACGTCATTTACGCATACGTCGTACCGTCAGCGGGTATCGTTGGAGCGTTTTAGGGAACCGTTCTTGCACGTCCGATGCGGTACAATGGGCTGGCCGGTACGAACTGCGCATGCGCGATTTTCATGCAGTTGCACGCAGTTCATACCGGAGGGCCCATCGTACCTCATTGGACGTGCAAAAACGGTTCTCTAAAACTCTACGTTGTTATCAGACGTATATGGGAACGATCTCTACTAAAACTTTCTACTCTGAAACGGAGTTTGGTTGCTTAATATCGTTCGTTCCTATAAACAAAGGTTGTTCAAAAAAATAAAAATAAAACTTCCATATTTTCTTTTAATGGTTCAACTGCAGCAAAATACAAATTGTCCAGCGGGAATGTTTTGTTTTTCTTTTGCAGGTCGTTTAAGAATGTAATCATCTGGACTCACACTCCCAGCACAGCGTATGCTACTTGTCCTTTCGATAGGGCGACTTTGGTAAGGCGACAAGTATATAATCAGTCCTGTATATATGCCTATACCGTAGATGTTATCGCCTACGACCACGATAACCGCCGCTTAAGATTATATATTTTATCAGTTGAAAGTTAGATCGCCAAAAGTGCAATTTAAACAAATTGATTGGTTGCTACTTATATATATATATATATATATATATATATTGCCATAGTGTGTTGGAAGATTTTGTCGGCAGGTGTCGCTTCCAAGCAAAAACCCTTTGCAAATAGGAATTAACCCTTCCCGAAACATCGGAGTATAGACGCCTGCAAGCATGCAAACGCATGTCAAAACCGAGTCTGACCACCATGGGCTCACAGGAAATGCTCCAGTATACCTATTCCAACAATGGCGGACTCGTACAATTGGTGCAGTTGCCAGTAGGTGGCGTGCACTTTCGAAATAAATAATACATTCAGCACTTTTAGCGGGAAGCATATATGGCGAGCATTACTTTCTGTTGTTTGTATACCAAAAGTCTTCTGTGTGTGTCGATATCGTTTTTTAGTCGAAACAGCGCGATTGACGCGCGATGCAGGATCCGTGGTACCAGTGGCTCGAAAGGAAACCGCTGTCTGTTCTGGCGAGGTCCGTAATGACGCTGAGCCTGGGCCCCCTCCACTACACCGCGCCATCCGGCCAACAGGAACGTGCATCCTCGTGCTTGAGGCAGAAAATCCAGCAGCCGCCGTCGAGGGTCGCCTACACCCAGGTTTGTATTCCGTAAGTTTCGCCATCTTGTCTGGCGGAACTTCCGGTGTATACTTTGTCTCGTTACTTAGGAAGATGAAGTTGCCGCGCAAAAGATCCCATTTAAAACCCTATCCGGCATCGGTGGTCGTGATTTCTTGGGCACATGGCTGTGATTGATTGATTCATATGTTCAGGGTTAATATATTCCTATTGGGAATGATGACATTTGAAGATCCAGCTTTACAGACCAATTCTAATACATATACTACATTTACCGAGCTCCGGGAACAAAATAACTTCATTAGGAAATGTGTTAAAAAAGAAAATGATTGCAATCCACAACATCTTTGTTTTAATGTAATTTACAATACCCATAATGCAAGTTAAAGTTAAGAATTAATTGCCGAAAATGCAGTTCTAGAGGGAAAGAACAATAACAGTCAAAAAGTACAAAAGATTTTCATAAATATTTGTGTTTAAGATTGTAAGTTTTCAACATCAACGAGTGAGCTTTTTCATATTATGAGTATACTTGTTACTCGGGAAATTTTTGCCCAAGACACCCCTGAATAAAATCTTTACGCTTTCAAAACCAGGAAAAGTGATACATTGTACCAGGAAGAGTGATACATTTCCTGGTACAACATTTCCTGCCGAAAAGCGAAACTGAGAAAAATGCATTTGAAGTTTGAACTTTAGGTTTTTCAATATTTTACGAGTCCCAGACACACAAAATTCACCTGGAGCATCGAAAGTATCTTCCTCCTTCAGACTTCATTGTTCCCCTGCAGCAACAGCAACCAGCTTGCGTCGTTTGTGGGCGAGCTAACTTTGCAAGTAGTCATATTCCTTGACAAATCAACTGCCGAGAACTAAAAGACAAATGATACCATAGAAGAAGAAAAAAAAAGTAGCAATATGATCTGAAGTGTATGCGTCAGGAAATTGAGAGAGAGAAGGAGCGAAAACACGTGGGGATGTCAGACTGCCGAGTTCTGGTTCGAAGGATTGGTGGCAGCCTTCTTCTCCACTGCACTCGACGAACGCGTTAGGACGCGGAACGCCGGCGTCTGGCCGTTTGGTTTTCGCATTCAAACTCATTCGACGAGTGCAGTGGAGACAAAGGCGGCTAGCTTTAGGTCTACCCTCTCCCTCAGTTTCTCGGCGCATAGCTACTGTGAAAAAGGGCGCTGCTGAACATAACAATCACGCCACCGGGCAGGACAAAAGGTAAGCCCTATTTCGTGTCTCAAGCAATAAGGTTGCTCATGCCATATATTTCACCTTCATTTTTTTTCCTTGGATGTACGGAGTTCTCCGGGTCCTTAATACGCTTAAATTTTAAAAACTTCCACGGGCTAAATAGAGTGAACGGCGCTTCCGATGGAGGGTAAGATGTTCTGGCTATGTTAACGGAACGCGGAACAGAGAGAACAGTATGAAGAGCGCAAGTTCATCTGCTTCTTTTGCGGGGGGTTGTGGTGCCGTCAGAACGGCGAGCTCTGATCGACTCTGATTGAAGGATAGTGGGTAGACCTCGAGGCAGCTTGCTTTGAGGCCTATCCCCTATCCTTCAGTCACAGCCAATCAGAGGTCGCCGTTCTGACGGCACCACAATCCCTGCAAAAGAAGCAGACGAAGTTGCGATCCGCATAGGCGTCGGGTCCCGCCCATCTCATCAATGCTCCGCGGCCAGTTGGGATTGCGGCATAGGTCGGTAGGAACCAAGCACGAAGCAAGAAGCAGGCTGTGACGTCATGCCGCTGCGGTGGCGCTGCCTTCGACGCGGCGCGTGCTCAAACGGTTCACCTCACACGAATCTCGTTCCTACGCTCGCACACCTGGTGTGGGCTACCTTGTTTGTAAACAGCATGCTGGTCTATAGAGTGTCCTTATATACTCTGCAGCTGTGCCTCAAGGTTCCCGACATGACAGTCGAGGACCCACCCCTACAGCCTTCGGCCTGCAGCGTCTACAGGGACGCCCAGGGTTGCTACCTCGTCTTCTCGTCCAGGGCCCTCAGCTCGATCGTAAGCGAACAGCGCCTCCAGATACTCTGCTTATTCGGATATTTTCCTGTCACGTTCCTAATTTAAAGGGTGTATCTTGTTCTACGTGTTGAATAGGTATATAGCACGTGTTTAGTTGTCTTAGCTGAACGTCCACCTGGTGACGTCGTCGCGAAAGGCATTTTGCTAAGCGTACCTCTGTAGCGCCGAGAAAAATGCTGAGAACTGGCTGTATAGACCTTTTTGCTTCCACCATGGTAGGCATATCCGGTATGGGTGACGAAAAATTAATAAAACATTTCAGCCTGCAAATAGTAAAAAAATAAAGGGGAGACAAAACGAGCATGAGTGACGGTAAAACTTACATTCTATATTTAATCTTAGTATGGCGATGGCAAAACGATGCTTTCGCCTATACTGGAAGCAACGTTACTAGAACACTCAGTTGGGAAACTCGCCGTCGAAACCTGGGCCGCTGGCGTCCACCGAGACCGAGCTAAATACGACAACAGCGCCACTCTTTATCATTTGTTTGTATACTGTGGTCACATTGAGCTTTTAGAAAGCATGTTTTTGCGTAAAAACAAACGGAAAGGCTCTATTTGTGTGAAAGTTTCTGGAGATTAGTACAAAATGAAGGGCGCGGGATGTTTTTATAATCTTTAGTTTGCAAGGTTTTGCGGAACAATTAATATTGTTTTTATACAACCATGCCTCAGCGGTGCTTTCAGGTAGCGCGTCCCGACCTAGGTGCATTTTAACTTCGGTCGCAAGACGCGGCGCGTCCGCTGGGGAGACGGGGGTGGCACCCCTGTAACCTCTTCCGCTGTATCTGTTTCGGCGCCAAAATATAAGTAACGTGCAGTTCCTCGAGTGGCCGCTGCGGGAGAAATGCCGGCGTTGTGTTCGCCATTAGCTCGGTTCTGGAGGACAGATCGGGGCCACTTTTTAGAGCAGTCTCTATGGTAGTTTCCCAACTGAGTGGTTCTAGTAACGTTGACTGGAAGTGACGATATTTCAAGATTCAGTGAATCCAACCCAAATTGCTTCCCGCCCAAGCAATCGGGGTCCGACGGCGTCTGGTTTTCCCTTTTCATGGCACATATCCACGTTCTCGGACGAACCCAGCACATGAAAACTGACCTTCAAACTTTTCTCGATTATTTTGGTACAGCCCCAGTCGCGGCGTTTTGACGAGAAGGCAGGTTTTTGTCTGGTTCCTTTTAAAACAACGTGGGAATACACGACTCACATGGGGGCTTCCGCCCACAGCCCAAGACCGGAAGTGCGCCTGACGCGCCACCACCGCGCCGTGACGTAACAGAGATGAGTTTGTGTATAGGTATACACACCGAAATCGTAAAATCTAGTTTACATGCCAACTCCCCCCCTCTCCCCCCCCCCCCAATAAAAAAAAAACAAAAAAAAAACACACAGTTTACAAACAAGCCCGATATGCCAACTCCCCCCCCCCCCCCCTTTCCCCTAAAAGAAAAAAACAAAAACGAAACAAAACACGCAGTTTACGAACAAGCCCGCGTTTGCCGTGCGCGGAAACCAATTATGAAACGTCTGCGCCTGCGCAGTGCCGACAGCAGCGCCACCGCAGCGGCATGACGTCAGAGAGTGGCCGCGTTTGGTATTCTATGGTTCAAAATCGGCATCTCCACTCTCGGTGGCATCCGGAACAAGGAGGGCAAGGGGACGACGATATCCCCCTCCCCCCAAGGAGTTGAAAAATTTAATGTAAGCAATACAGGGGAGGGGAAGGAGGAAACTCTCGCTCGCTCCCCCCGCCCTGTACCTCCCGAAGAGTTCCGACGCCTATGGCCAACTCTGACGTGGTCTCCTTGACATCAGCGAAATCACATTCTTTTTGTTTGTTTACTGAAATTGTTCTTTGAATCGGCAGTTATACATCATACAAAGGACACGGAGTTTCTCTACAGACATGATGGCAGAAATATCTGCGGACACGCCTTAGAGAATGTCTGCAAATTTTTCTTCTGGATGTTGTATTTGCAGTATACGACCGCGGCTTTACGGACCGTGTATTTTACACGAACCGTGGTGTCTTTTGTTTCTCTCCCCTGACCCAGTCCGAAGCCGTGAACCACCACTTCCGCAACGGGCTGGCCGTGATAGATCTCAACCTGGACGACTACATGGGAGTCTGCGGCGAAAGGCATCGCCTCTTCAACGCCCTCTACAACATCGTCGACATCTCGTAGAGAGCACTTTGCTCCCTCTGTGGGCCCCCCAAAAAAATAAATCGCACTGTATCTTTTTACAACGGAGCAGTTAAAGGCTAGTTTCCCCATGATAGTGTCCCCCGCAAATAAATGAAGACACCGAACTCTGGACACCTACCGCCATCTATGAGCGACGGCGGCAAGCCACGTATATGGTTGCCGCCGTCGCTCATAGATGGCGGCAGCCTTTCAACTCTGGCTTGCCGACTTGCGGCCGGCCATTACTTTCCATTGTACAGCTCCGCTGGTCTTCCTTCTTCACCAGAGTGAAAAAGCTGAAATTTGTTTTTCTTTTTTCAAAAATTTTACGTTTAGTTGTTAGGATCGCGACGTCTGACAACATGACACGCCGGCTTCTGTGACATCATGTGTTGCCTCTGGTACGGTATCACGTGACATCACGGCTTGACGCCATAACGTCGCGTGACGTTTAATGTCTGCTAAACGAACCTAAACGGTCGTTCCTTAAATACCACAATCCACGCAATAGAAAAACTGAAAAAAAAAAAAAAGTATCTGCATTTTTTTTTTTTACGAGGACAGTAGTTATGTGTCTTTCGCGGCAGCTATCAAATAGCAGACGTTGCCGAACTCGAATAATCGAAGCGCCCGCCGCGCTGCGGTTCTCTTCTCCCGTGCTAGATGGCGCGACGTGACGAAAAGCCGAACGCGCGGAGAGTCAAGTTTCCCATGGCTGCATCGACGATCAAAATTTCCCCATTTGTTGCCCGGTCGTTATGGCGTGCATATTTATGACTTTTCGCGCGTAAGCATAGTCGTGGTGACACCGCAAGCAAAAACACACAAAAAGCAAAAAAAAAAAAAAAAGTCAAACGCAGACGACGACATAGACCTGGCTGGTCCGGTCGTCTGCTATTTTTTTGTTATGAACTTTTGGGGGGAGCTTGCAGAAAGACCGGGCTTTTTTTGTTTGTTTTGATCACCCATTAAAAGGGACGCATCGGAAAACAAAAATAGCTTCTCGGCTGTCAAGATAATGTTACGCATTGCCGGATGATTGAATGTAAAAGGCGTGTTATCGCCGACTCCGCGTTTTGATGCTTTATCGATGAGAGCGGTGTCTTCTGTGCGTGGAGCACACCGGAGACGCTTAGGAAATCTGCGAGTTTGACGGTCGACCGAAATGGAATTTTAGATTTCGAACGATTTCGCTAGAGGGAGACAATGGGTCTAAGTGGCACGTTGGAACCAGGGTGCGTTTCTGAGCGCCCAAAGTTCGGGATGGCGTGCGAAGGGAGGTGATATAAATCTTGGAGGACATTTAACCTGTGCCCTTCTCGTGTCCATCACATGTTGAGGCGCTTTATCAAGGTATTTGTAATATTGAATTTCTTTGGTTATATTAATCTTTTATTTGGTAACTGGAATACAGGGCTCTTTATAATTCCTGGGAGATTAAACAACAAAAAAACTCTGTTCACCGATATTTCTTTTATATTTTTGTAACTCTAGATGCACGATCGTTTCAATCTAAAAACTGCGACGAATAGGTAACACCTTGATTGCGCTGCAGTAACGAGTATGGTAACACCTTAATCGTGACCCAAGGTATCATGGGCTAAAAGAAAGAAGAAGGGGGGGGGGGGGGGGGGGGGGGGAGACTGGTCGCTCGCTTTTTTTAGTGGCCGAAAATGGTTTCACTCTGCGTGCTTCATATGTCACAATCATTGTGATACCACCTGTGAGTTGGCAGCAGCGTCAAAAGGCTAAAAAATAGGTAAATATTTGAAAATTGGGTTCTAGGTCAGGGAGCAAGCAAGACACGTGAAAAAAAGTAGTTAAGGATCGTGTTTTCAATTACGGCTAAACAATATCTTACGGGAGACGAGGGTGGAAGACGACGGAACGGAGAGCATGTGAGAAGCGGTCGGCCGAGGAGGCACGGGTCGGTGCGTGACACAGTGTGCTGCGCGAAGCTGGGGCCGGGCAGGAACGATGGAGCCGGTCTGGCCCATGCACGGCGATCCCTGGAACGGTCCACCAGCAAGGTTCGGACCAGGACTGGCGGGAACGGCAAGCCCTGGCTATGCCAGCCTAAGATCATGTCGACCCCGCAGTCAACGTTACTAAGACGCTCAGTTGGGAAACTCGCCGTCGAAACCTGGGCCGCTGGCGTCCACCGAGACCGAGCTAAATGCGACAACAGCGCCACTCTTTATCGTTTGTCTGTACTGTGGTCACCTTGAGCTTTTTGAAAGCCTGTTTTTGCGTAAAAACAAACGAAAAAGACTCTTTTTGTATGAAATTTATTGGAGTTTAGTACCAAATGATGGGCGCGTGATGTTTTTATCATCTTTAGTTCGCTGGGTTTTGCGGAACAATTAGTATTGTTTTCATACAACCATGCCTCAGCGGGCCTTTCAGGTAGCGCGTCCCGCCCTGTAGTGCATTTTAGCTTCAGTAGTTGAACGCGTCGCGTCCGCCGGGGAGACAGGGGTGGCACCCCTGTAACCTCTACCGCTGTATCTGTTCTTGAAGCCAAAATACAAGTCACGTGCGGTTCTTCGAGTGGCCGCAGCGGGAGAAATGGTGGCGTTATGTTCGTCATTAGCTCGGTGCTCGGAGACAGAATGGGGCCATTTTTTCAAAGCTGTCTCTATGGGAGTTTCCCAACTGAGTGTTTTAGTAACGTTGCCCGCAGTCGTTCCGCAGAGAGAGACTGGCTACGATAGGCCGGAACAGGCTATAGCCTAAGCAGCGCTGGCGGTGGAAGGACGGTCCGCGGGCCTGGACACAGACTCCGACAGCGAGCTGTGAACGACGCGCGACAACCGGGGCTTCAGCGGGCCGGAACTGTCGGCTCTCGAAGACGGGCAACTGGGAACTACAGGGTGTCAGAAAAGAAAATTCACACGGTCTTTTTTACCGCACAAATAAGCTAGACATCGCCGAACGCTCATTCTCCGCCCAAAGGTAGGGCTAGAGGTCACAACCAGATGCCAAAGTTTCAGCCCGATCCGACAAGTAAATCAAAAGTTACAAGTGATTTTCTCAAAATTTCAATGGGAAAATGGCGGCCAACGGAGTTTTCAAACACATGGGGCTCTGTGGCACCAAAAACTGAAAATTGGCAAAAATGGGCTCCATTTTCCTATTGAAATTTTCAGAAAATCGCTTATAACTTTTGATTAAGTTATCGGATTGGGCTGAAACTTTGGCAACTGGTTGTGACCTCTGGCGCTACTTTTGGGCGGAGAATGAGCCTTCGGCGATGTCTAGCTTATTTGTGCGGTAAAAAAGACCGTGTGAATTTTCTTTTGTGACACCCTGTACAGTAAACCCGTTCGCTGTCTTCTCGTTGTGTTGTGCCACTCCTTGGGAAACGAGCGAAATGCAGACCGATCGGGCGGCGGTTATTACATATATAGGAACGACTCCGCAACCTTTTACGGATGGTAGGAAAATGCTCCATTGTCCCTTTCTTTTAGTACCTTCCTCTTTTGATATTACTCGAGCGCAATTTGGCGCCGCTTCCCACATGCCCGGCACTCTGCACTTGTACGCTTGAATCGCGGAACCGTTCTTGCGAATCGTCAAACCACCCAGTCTTGTACACGTTCCAAGAAAAAAGAAGTCGATTACAACTACAATTACTCTCGTTTGAAAAGTATTCAATGAGATTACTTGATTACTTGAGACTAAAAGTTATTGGCCGTAATTACTAGGAAAAAGTAAGCGTTACTGCTCAGATTGCTTCGAATTTTAAAAATGGCAAAGTTTTATGCCGGTTTGAAGACTAATCTTTTTCTCCATAACTAAAAAAAACAAAACGCAACAGGGGAAAATGATGGGGCAGAAACAATGAGGTTTAAAGGCAGCTGCGTTTTGAGACTTTGTTGTGTTTGTGTTTTCCTTTTCCGCTTTCTCGGTTTTTCAGAAGTATTAACCTCCATTAGCCTGGCCTGTGCCATAACCCTTATTTCTCTATTTTGAACCGTCTATTATGGGATTAAAATCACCGCCTCGCCATCTTCTTAATCCACCAGTTTTGGTAAACCATCCTCTTGTAAGAGACTTGGTTCGGGGACTCTTTGGTAGGAAATTTGCGCGAACAATGGGCGCCGTTAGAAAGCAGAAGGAAAAATAGTAACGGTTACTTACCAGTTATTTTAGCACTTTGAAAAGTAATCAGATTAGCGATTATTTCCTACCGAACGTAATCAAACGCTTACAAAATTACAAAAAAAAAAATCGATTACAAGTAACTTGATCCCTCGTAATGAATACCCTACAAGTATGCGACCTATAGACCTATACGAGCCCCATGGTAAGATTCCGATGTCCAAAAGACGGCTGCCGCCAAACCCTTTCGATGGTTTCCATAGGGGATCGATACCTATAGAGCAAGCCGTCGGCTTCTTGCGGAGGAGTTGCAAGGACGTCAGAACGACACAGAGTTCCGATTGGCTTTGATTGAAAGGATAGTAGGGAGACCTCAATGCTAGATGCCTTGAGGTCTACCCACTAATACTTTCAATCAGCCAATAAGAGCTCGGTGTTCTCACATCATCGCAACCCCTGTGGAAGAAACAGACGAACTTGCGCTCCATATTGCTTGTCACGGCTCCCTATGCCTCCCCCCCCTCTTCCCCCCTCATTTTTTTTTTCTTTCTTTCTCCATCTTTTGCGAGAATAAAAAAATGGATAAAGAGAAAGCACTGGTGCGCGTCTCAATCTCCGAAAGCACGGGATTTAGCGGAACGGAGGAGGACGCCCTAAGCAAACAAATCGAAGGCTTATAGGCCCATCTGTCCCCCTCCCCTTTACGGGACCAGTTTAGCGCGTTTGTACGCTTCGCCGATCACCGGGTGTCGGCGCTGTCGGGGCGCCGGTCTCGTGTGCCGCCTGGGCGTGAAACGACAACACGACACTTAACACCGCTCTCCGATCGTACAATGGCGGGCTGCTCGATCGGCCAGCGGCGTGTTCCCTCAGAAGGGAGGTCACGAGGTTCCCGT